GGGATGCATAGGAATGGAGCTAGAAACTCAGATACGAAAACAATCAAATATAATAATTTTTGCTTTAATAATATTTTTGTGTTAAAAAAATTATAAAAATATTTATAAATATCTAATTTAATATCCAATTATTATCATTTAAGAATTTCATAACTCATAATATTGAAATTCTAGCTCTATCTTTTTGAGTACTTAACATTTTTTTTAATTTAGCCATTTGATATCTGAAGTCTACTTCATTAACTAATCCTGATTTGTGCAAAGTATGCATACTAAAAGGATAAACTGTTTTTTATCAAGAAATTCTTTATTTTTTAGAATTCAAATTCGATATTTCAAATTTCAAGCATCTCATTACATTCCTTAAGAAGTATGATACATAGTAAGTCGTTATTGTAATCGTTGTAGATATTCGAAATCTATTTAGAGCTGAGATAATATCTCAGATAATCATTAATTTATAATAGTTTTTTATAAAATACTCAACTTAATTACAATAGTTCACTTAAAAAGTCATTCAACTTAATTATGATAGATCACTTAAAAAGTCATTCATTTTAGGATAGTTTACTTAGAAGTTTACTATACTCCGCTTGATTAAAAAGTCACTCTCAACTTCATTTTATATCTAAACAATTACTCAATTATTAATATCTTACATAGAAAATCACTAACCTGTGTTTTTCTAGTTGATAGTGTATCCTATACCAAAATATTTCAATAATTAATAGGGTAAAATAGATAACTCACAATTATTTTCTTAATATATGTGTCAATTTAAAAATAAACAAGTAATTAGAGATAAAGAAAGTAAAATATAACTCTTTTTTGTTGTTCGTTTCCTATTTAGTGGCGAATATCCATATTAGTGCGTTCAATATAATTTTCTTCATATTTATGATTCAAAGTCAAAAATGCCCTTAACGTATTGAAAATGGCTCAAAAATGCCCTACTTCCATCTATTGGATCAAAAATGCCCTCTCATCCACCTATTTGGATAAAAAATGCCCTTAGAGTCAAATTTAAGCCTAAAATTATCCTTACCTTTAACAGAAGCTGATGTGGCAAATATATATCTTTTAGTTAAATGTGTGGCATTATTTTATTGGTCCACATATATTAGATCCACTTTCATTCATAATCATACCCATTAACCCAAATCCAAACCCATTTCCCCCACTTTCTTCATCTTTCTTCTAAAAAAATTATTTGGAATATTAATAAAATAATATCAAAACAATCAATACAAGAACATGATGTTCCAAGCATTTCTCTAAAAAATTCAAAGTCTTTTGTGAGCTAATTGGAGATTGAACTCCTCCTCAACTGTTAGATGCTCCATTTTTTTTTTAAAAAAAAATGTGATAAACAACATGGCTTGATTTGATGAGTGTCTTGCTTCCATGGGAGATTGAATGTATGATTTTTTTGTTCCCATTTCATCAAATCCACTCATTCTTTTGATACGTTTTGGGATTCAAATTAAATTGCACTTATCTTCACTACCAAAAAATTAGTAGGTCAATTAATATTTTTTTCGAGAGAATGATAATGTATAGAATTTTTTATAACCTTTTTTTAAAGATTTGAATTTACCGAAAGAATTTGATAGTATTTTATTAATCCTCCAAATAATTTTATAGAAGAAAGATGAAGAAAGAAAAAGTAGGATCTTTTAGAAATGGGTTTGGATTGATGGATATGATTGAGAATGAAATTGGGTCTAATTACATGTGGACCAATAATTATAATGCCAACACATGAAATTTTAAATATTATTTTTGTCACATTAGCTTCTGTTAAAGGGAGGGGTATTTTATGTTGAAATTTTACTCTAAGGGCATTTTTGATCCAAATAGGTGGATGAGAGAGCATTTTTAATCCAATAGATGGGGCATTTTTAATCCTTTTCCCATGTTTGTAATGAAATATAACTCTAAAATCTCTTGTCTTGTAATAAAAGCACAAGGAATATGTTTATTATTTTAAAAAAAAGCATTTTAAATCAAAACTAATAACCATACTATTAACATAAGACATTTTAATTCAATTTTACATAATTTAAAAATATTTTAAACTATTTTTCTGATTTTTTGTTAAAAAAGAAATGTTACACTAAAGTGGGTATAGATTATGGCATACAAAGAGAAAAATGGTTGATTAAACTTAGAAGTTAATCAAACTAATTTATAAATATTTTTTTTGTTTATTTATATGTTTTGCAAATTGAAAAGTGTTAATAAGTCACAAACAATAATGTAGTCATCCCTACCTATGATTTTTCAACTTATAATAACTTTTAGTTTGACCCAATGTTTTATTCTTTAATTCTCTCCTTTTATTTTTTTTTTAAATATTCAAACTTTACTTGCAAAAACTAAACTCCTAAATTCCTATTCACACCGTATTAGTCGTTCCTCCTTTTCTTACGCAAATACCTTTAAATTATAATGTTTTTTTACAATTTGTTTTTAATAATATTATAATTAGGGGTGTACATGATCAGATTGGTTCGAGTTTTTGAAATATAAAATCAAATTATTTGTGTCGAATTTTTGAATTTATAAACCAATAAAACTTCGGTTTTTCAACTTCAAGTTTTTTCGGATTTCTAGGTTTTTTCGGATTTTCACGTTTTTTTTGATAAAGTATTCATACAAACATATAATTTACTTGCACTTCAAATATTTCTTTAGTCCTATCAAAATGCAACTATTTAAGTTATTTCTTAAGAAAATAACAAAAATTATGATATGATTAATGACACTAAAATATCGAACAAAAAAATAATAATAAAATCGCGTAAAACGAATATTGCAAATTAATAAGTCATAATGAAATTTATTATAATTTAAAGTACTAAATCATGCTAAAATAAGTTTAGCAAATATTAGTTACATGACTAAATATTAAAAGAAAGTAAATATGTATTTTATATTGTCTAAATCTATGTAAAACTAAAAATTAAATATTCAATATTATTGTCATTCTTAGTGTTGAATTGATTTCTTTTGGCGTTATTCTTAATTTGATTTTTATTTAAACTTTATTATAATTACCAACATGTATAAAATATAATCTTTATTAGATCATTTAAGAATTCTAGCTTCCATACATGAAATAAGTATATCAAAAGATAAAAATTATGAAAAAGTATAAGAGATATTTAAAGATTATATCAAAGTAAGTATTTTTACGTATAAAATAAAATTTTAAAATTATATATATAATGTCGGGTTGGTTTGATTTTGGGTTGACTTTTTCAGTTGAAATCAACCCAACCCAACCCAAATATAGTCGGGGTTTTTTCCTACACCAAACCAAGTCACCAAATCACTAGTCCATTTTTTTTTCGATTTAACTCGATTTGCGATTTGATTCGTTTTTGTACACACCTAATTATAGTTATGAAATACTGTTTGTGTTCACTTTTATTTGTTATTACTTGACTTGATACATCGGTTAAAAAAATAATCAGTGTTATAAATATTTTACCATATTATCTTTACTAATTAATGTTTAGTATTGCATCTTGAAAAATGATGTGAAAAATAATATTCCCTCCGTTTTAAAATAATTGAACTGTTGAAACATTTTTTCATATTTCAAATTAACTTGGTTGTTCAATTTTCAAGGCCACTTTTAGAACATTCTTCCATTTTTGCCCTTCATTTGAATTTTCTATCTGATGAGTTCAAGAAACTTTAATTGCTTTGAATTATTCTAAAGATTAATTTAACATATTCCCTCAGTCTATTTTTATTTGTCATGTTGCACTTTTCAAAAGTTAATTTGACTAATTTTTAAAGTTAAATTAGATTACATTAATTTAATATTTTAAACAAAAAATTTAGATATTCAAAAACTATATGAATAGTACTATAAATTGCAATTTTTTGCATATCAATATGATGAAAAAATACATCTTAAAATGTTAGTTAAAGTTCTTATAGTTTGACTCTAAAAATAGAAACCATGACAATTGAAAGCGAAGGGAGGGAGTAAATAATAAGGATAAAAATGAAAAGTAATGTCTAATTTGTATCATAATCTTCTTTTCTTAAAGGGTGTGAAACACCTCCAATAATTTAATTATTTTGAAGTGGAAGGAGTATTTAATAGTAAGGCTAAAACATTACAAAATACCTGTCTTTTCTTGATAAGTAAAAAATGACAAGTAAAAATCTCTTTTAGAAATATGTGATAAGTAAAATCGAAAGATGGAAGTACATATAAAATAAATGAATTTTACTAATATTAATTTGTTAACCTAATACATCAATTCGTAAGTACTCCATCCGTCGCTACTCACTTTTTCATTTTTGACTTGACACAACTATTAAGAAAATAATAATTAACAAGTAAGTTTATCATTTTACCCATATTAATTAATAGAATTCAAAAATCAATTTACTCATTAAAGAGTTTCTACCATTTTCAAAAACATTAACTCTTTAGATAAATAAATTAATCATTTAACAGGTAAAAAAACTATTATCTTTTCTTGATTTGTCAAAGATGATAAGTAAAAATAAACCAATACAAAAATAAAAATTGAACAAATGAAAAAGGACAAAAAAGTTCTCACTCCGTTTCATTTTATGCGACATCTTTTCCTTTTTGGTCGGTCCAAAAAAGAATGTCATATTTAAAGATACAAATTCTCTTTTGACCTTGTTGGTTTCCTCTTAATTTTATAAATAATCCTCTAATATACATCTATAAAAAGAGAGAAAATTGAATTTACTTTTTAAGGATAATTTGATAAACATTTTAAAATCTTCATTATTTTTTAAACATTTCAAATGTAGCTACATAAAATGAAACGGAGAGAATATTTATTTAGCTTTAATATGGAATAAATTTTTTTTGTACCAACCCTTATTTTGTCGGATTCTAATGTGAATAGCGGATACCAATTAAAAAAAAGAAAAAGAAAGTAGTATTTATTTATCCATTTTTTTCCTCATATGAAATGCCTATATTTAAGTAAACGATTGAGACAATCGAAGTCTTTCATCGTTCGGTCATGATTTGGGATTTCTCATATGTTCAACAATTTTAAGGTAATCCTCTCCTCCTTAAACTTAACTTCACAAAAAATTTTATGAGTTTTTTTTTATAAGAGTTTATTTATTCTATAAATCTCTAATTCTTTGAATTTCTGCATTTACTACATGGGTAAAATCAAATTTTTGAAGTCTATGGTTATCTTGTTGTTTACATAGGTATTGAATTAGGTTTTTTTTTCTTGTAGGAATTTGGATAAGGTTTTGTTCCATTCCATTGCCTTAAATGTTTTCAATTTTTTTGATGTTCAAATTCTTCCTATACACACAAAATTAGATTTTAGCCCTAGGTTGAGTTTTTTTGTTTGATTGGATAATTGTGGTGTTTGGACCAACTTGGGTGCACTTCGTTTGTAGTTTCACGGAATACATGTCATCTTGCACTAGTATGGTTACTTTGTATACCAAGGCTAGGACAGATCAGAAGAAATCATTTAGCGTTATAGAGTTTGTTAAGAGATGGATTGCGATAAATTGATAGTCTAGATTAGTTTTTTTTTTTGTAGTTTCTTGCCCCTTTGATCTATGTTAATATTATTTGTTGTTTTTTATATTTCGATTATTGTTTTATGTTTTGTTGTAGTTAGTGTTTATAGAATGTTTCGTTGTGTTTGCTCTAGATAGCATTTCTACCTCCAAGGTAGGGGGTAAGGTCGGGGTACACTCTATCCTCCCCAGACCCCACTTTGTGGGATTACGTTGTGTATGTTGTTGTTGTATGGATATTTAAATGTTGAATTTCTTGGAACTTATCCGCAGAATTGCGCACGCTATATTCAATAGTGTTGGACATGTGATGGACCTAATTAGCCAAACTAATTTGGTATTGAAGCTTACTAGATTGGCAACTATGATATCTATGTATTATTAGAACACACCTAGGTGAATAGATAGTGATTGTTTAGACAGGAAAAGGGAACCACTAATAATTGAGGTATGGAACTCTCGAAATGGTGATGGTTCGTGTGTGTTTTTCACCATTAACTACACAAAAATTCGAAGGTGTTTTAGTTGTTTAATTTTATGAAGCTTGTGCCTTTTTGCTTATGATTTTAACGACTTGTTGATCTAAGGCAACTTTTATGTTTCTATATGCAGTATTTGATAGCCGTTTCTGATTTTATTGAGTGGTAATTGAGATGGAAGATGTTGTATTCTCGTGTACTGGTAATGGAGTTCAAGTTGACCGTAAAGTAGTTCAGACATTGCAAAAGAATTTTGTGCAAGTACAGAACATTTTGGATCAGAACAGGTTGTTAATCAACGAGATCAACCAGAACCACGAGTCAACAATCCCAGATAACTTGACTCGAAATGTTGGTCTAATTAGAGAGCTAAATAACAATATTAGAAGAGTAGTTGATCTCTATGCTGATCTTTCCAGTTCTGTTACCACATCTATGGAGGCTTTCTCCGAGGGTGAATCAAACAATGCTAATCAATCAGATCAAAGAGACGGTCAGAAGAGAATAAGGTCCAGCTGAAGTTCAACTTTCTCCGTTTGATTGTTTCTAAGTAAATCAGCTCTGTTTAAAGAGGTTTGAGTAGAACAGCATGGATATATATATATATATACCGAGGCTATAAGCTATAACGCTTTGAAAATAAATCCTATCTGGTCATGTGTTCCTTTGTTATCTTTCTATCTGTTCCTGCAATTGGACTCAAATTCATAGTTAGCAAGTTGTAGTTTTCTCCTTTTATGTTTGTTATAGTAGAGTTACTTGTTCTGTCTTTAGATGTTTGAGTGGGCGCGAATAAGCTAGACATATAGCCCCACTCGTAGTTTCTCGTTTGAGTATATACTTTTGTCCTTTGTTCTCGTCTTTGGAACTCCTCGTTGTATCATGAATTTGTTTCACTGTTATTTCCAAAATGCTGGTGTTCGGACTCGTTGAAACCTCGAGGGGTGCTTAGTATAACACCTGTTGCCATGCCTTTTCTGGAATCACATTCATGTATTCTGCATTTCACTATCAGACACCGCCTTTTATTCGTTTACAGTTCCTTACAAACTAGTCAAGATGCTATTCTTTTGACACAATTACATACACAAAACAAGCAATTTGCATTGTGATTAAAGCTTTTAGCTTGATTATATCATGGTGAAATTTTCTCACACTATTAATGTATACATCACTTATTTATCTATCAAGGTTGCAAACCACTCTTTCCAGTCCATGACCTTGTCCTCACCATTGACCACCTGTTATTCGACAAACTTAAACTTGTTAGCTTTTTAACAACAACCTAAGAATAGCGGAAGTGCATTCACAACAAGATAGCTGATACAACTGCTGGAAAATGTTTCACTGTGCTCATGTTGACCTCTATAAGATTTGAAGCAGAAACTAAAAAACATTGGTTACTTAAAACGTGATACAAAAAAAGATTGATTTTGACCTTGAAAAGTTCCAAATAGGCACCACTGCAGATTGATTAGTTCATTCTGGGCAGCTATAAATCTTAGAAAATTGAAAGCCACAAACCTCGAATGTCAGTCCTTTCTGTGGGACAGTCTCAAGAGCCTCTACACAGATGAAAGCAGCATCCTCCTTGCTCAACTTTCCTTGTGATGCACAGCCCTGGCATGAAGATCGTAGAATCGGCTAATTTAATAAAACAAATGATTTTAAGTGAATGACAAAGTAGGAAGCCAAATTGCTTTAAAACGATGGAAACCAATCACCGGGACACATATTCTGTCATAAATTTCATGTGAGGAATTTCTGATCCAATCTTGATAAAGATTCCATTGTTCTATTCTAATTTGCTCTAATACAGAACGGAATACATTTTCAAACCTTAACGCAATGATTGGAAAGGTGGTAACTGGAAACTTTGGATATTTAGTAAGCATCAACAAAAAATAGCTATTAGACCATCATCTGTATATCAAGTCGATGGGTTCGTCATGGGCACATTACTTTGTGTTTGAACGAAATGTAAAAACTTAAACTTGAGTGGACAACTACTGTGCTGAGTAGCAACAGTAAGGAATTTGCTCAACATGAACAATGAAAAACTGATATAGTCGTTTTCTATTCGATTTGTGAAGAATTTTGATTTATTTTGCACAAAGGAACACCTAATACTTCATCTGCTGGTGGTTTCAACCTAGGAAAACACAGTTGTATGACGTTATGCTCGTTTGGATACAACCAATGACATATACAAATTGTCATTGTGGTTTTGACACCATCTACCTGATAAAGAAGCTACACATATATAACAATTACCTCTTTAATGTTGAAACCTTGATTTCCACCCGGTGCATTTACCAACAAGCCAGTTCTAATAATGGTGTAAGGGATTCCCGAAGCCATAACCAGTGATTCATCTTGTTCTGCCTGTTTTCTTGCATTGGCAGTAACAATTGCTTGTACCCCGCTAGAACCTCTATAAACAGACAGCTGCAATGTCATCGTATCATAAAATCAAAACATAAACCGTTCGAAGATAGCCATTGCCTAGACATGTATGAGAGAGGACTACCTGAGATAATAGGATTACATGTTGTAAACCTTTCCAACTCTCTAAATTTGATATAAAACCTTCCTACAAAATGCAGCTCAAGTGTAAGAGAACTTCTGAACAAATTGTGCATATAGAAAAGGAAGTGCCTAAGTAAGCAACGGAAAAAATAATTAGCTAACAAGGATAAGATGCAGCAAAATTACACAATAAATCCAAAACAGATGTATCATAGATTCATATGCAGATGTAATGCTACTCGTTAATGTTTCTTTGAAAGTGTTTTTGTTGGGGATCATGGTAACGAAAAAATGATAGCGGAGAATGATGATGAAGCGAGCATACATTTGGGCATATCACTGCACGAACACCACTTAGAGCCTTCTTTAGCAATGACCTGTCCCGTGCATCACCTGCTATTGGCTTCATAGCAGCTTAGGAACATTAAGTATTAAAATACTACCAAGTGTATGATAATAAAAATCGTATAAAAATTCCACCAACCTCAACATAAGTACCAAATGCTTCCATTGCAACCCGCTTATCCTTTACCAGAGCTTTGATCCGAGTTCTTTTGATTATCAAAGACAATATAATCATCTGTCCAAGATCACGTATAGGTGAAGTTGACAAAGGATGAGACAAATTAAACATTGACCTATATACTGAATCACTGAGGTAGGGCATTGTTAGCAAAAACTGAGCTATGACTATATCATTACTGTTGAACTTAGATGACGTTAGTAAAATTCTTCCCCCTGCTTGAACATGCACATATTCTAAACAACAAGACATAAAGATTCTAGTACAAGATATTTGATGCTACCATATACGAACCTGACCAATCTCATTATCTCCATCGGTAACTAAAACTGCATCTCTGACTTCATCTTCTTCTGTTTGTGAGAAAAAAGGAACACATTGTTGACATGATATTTTAGAGAAGAAATCACATGCAAAATGATTACTAAATTCAGCTACCCGAAGACATATCTTCTTCTGAAAGGGATCCATCTTTTGGGAGGAGCTCGGGTGCCCCATACCATTTCCTTAACTTTGGACCGCCTGAAATCAATGGCATACATGGATGAAAATGTCAATGATTAAGGAAATGTTATTTGATCAGCATTCTTTGAGATGCATTAGAATACATCATATCACATAATTTTAGCGGGAAGGATTGGCGTAATAAGCATTTATGTTTCGTGTGTTACTTTTCATCAATTTAGGGCCTAGCAAGTTTAAAGATTTTCTCATTGAAATCATGAATGTTTATGATACTAATGATATTTAAAACCTTGGAGCAAAAACCGTTGTATGAAACTATGACTTGCCGTCATCAGCCAGTAGAAATATTAAATTTCCATCAATGAAAGGTATTCATCAGTAGCTTTAACAGAGACTGATAAATCAATAATGCAGAGGGGACTTGCACCAGACGTTTTGCACTGCACCAAATGTACTGGTAAGGCAAGATTTATACTATTACTAACTACGGAAAATGAGAGTGATATAAATCCTAAATTTAGATATACTAAAACCTGTCGTTAAAGTTCAACCAGACAACTTGCTGTTCGTCATTCATATTTCTCACAAAAAACATAGAGCAATCGCAACTAGAAGCAGATCCAGGATTCAAAAGGAGTAGGTTCACCTTTTTAGACTTATTATATACATAAGTGAATACCTATGTGCATCAACTGCTCATTATATGCTGAACCACACCGGCATACGCAATCAGCTTAAATTTCTACCTGACAATCTCCAGTTTAACATAAACTATTCTATCCGCATTACTATAGCGTTTGACAGAAGAATCTATTAAATTCAGTCTTAATAACTACAATTAAACCTCGATCCCAAACAAGTTAGGGTCAGCTATATGAATCTTGACGAATGTCCACACACCCATTTAAATTTCAACAATCAGATATCATAGCGCAGCACCCAATTCATTACTCTACTTCACACAAATCAGTTCCTTCACCCAACCCAAAAACAAAAAATAAAAACATAATTCAGTATCGAATTTCCCCAGTTTCGTCAAGCACAAATTAAACTGTTGAACCATTCAAAATGAGTAACTGTATAATTAGGTCTAATTAACAATAAATTGAAGTAAAGAAGTGAAATCAAACCTTCAATGTAATCTAGAATTTGGTCCATAAAACCTATTTTCTTCTGAGAAGAAAAGCAAGTGAGAGAACGCTTATTACTCTTCCAATTCAAATTTCTGCACCACAATTGTCGACATGGAGAAGAAAAGCACAACAATTTTGAAGGTTCATTCACACAAATAGATAAACTCCCCATAGACTCCACAAACGGTTGGTTTCTGTTATGTCTTGCACAAATTACTATAAGTCACTTTATAACATAGTATCGTAATTGGCATAATTTTACAAGTAAGGTATGAAAATTGTTTATATTAATTTAAATTTTATAATTACGTTAAATCGACTCAAAACTCAACAAGCAAAAAGTTATATAAACATTAAAAAATTCTACCCCATCTTCTCTAACAGATATAGATAGTGTCATTTGAAGCTGATATGTCACTTGTTATGAAAGTAGTTTATATAATACCGTCATTATTATACAAACGATTCAAATATATGAAAATTACTTTTTTTTTACTATTGTTAGAGGAAAAGAATATATGTGAGCTATCTGTATAATAATTGGATATATATAAATTAATTTCATAACAAAAACTATATCAACTCTAAACGATATAATTAAATGATATATCAGACTCTTTTTATGTCCGTTCAACATTATTGCGTGAAATATGTATAGTGAAAAAATTAACTATAATGAAATAATTACTATAATCTAAAGTATTGGAAAAAACCAAATAGTAGTTAGAAAATTGAAGAATAAGAAATCAAAGTGTAATTATCGAAACATTAGTGTACAAAACTAAAATTTAAACTTAGGTGCTCTAAGTTTTAAAACTCTTCATTTTGATCCCACCTTATTTGCACCACCCTTGTTTCTCCATTCTTCTAGTCGAGCATACACTATCGTCTACTTACACACGACCCGTCGCATATCATCGCCGGTACGGTCACCGGAGTTGAAAATATCTTCTCGTCTTTCAGGTATGTGCCGATATCTACGATTAAAATTAGCTATTGTAGTGTTTTGACCTTGTAAATGATTGGAATCCTAAATTAGCTCGTAATTCTCTGATTGACGCTTTGATTTTTCACATTAACAACAGTTTCAAATGCATGATATGTTGCATTTTGAATATTGCTCCTTAATTGAACGATCACCAGTTTTATTTGATTATCAGAATTTTACTCTGAATGGATTTATGTGTGATTAGCTTCAACTATGATTTCTCGTAGTTGTTTATGAGTTAATCCAGAGTTTGTTTCGTATTTGATGACAGAGGATCATATGATTCATATAGCGGATCACAATTGGGTTGTGATTGAGCAAATAGACTATCTATTGGTTGATTGGTAGTGAAAAGGTTCAACTTGGATTCATCATAGTTCTCGTGATTTTTTCAAGGAATAGTGGATTGATATAGTTGATCCCAACTATTTTGGGATTCAGGAGTAGACTCATGATTGATTGATTTGTTTGTCATGTGATAATGGCTTACAAAGTTGTTATCGTTTCGTATCTACCTTTAGTATTACAGAACAATTTGCTGAATATTTCTCTGGGAAAAGAAATTATAATAGAAGGGCCACAAGTTCAAGCATGCGAAGTTGATTGTCAGCTATTTCATCATCCAGTACTTTTTAAATAGAAGGTCCATGTGAATTATTTAAACTTACAATATAGCATGGTATTTTTTTTCCGATGAAGACAATATAGCTCGGTATCTTTGACTCTAGCTGGTAGCTGCTCCCTCCATTTTTTTTATGCGTCTCTTGAGGGCAAACATGATTTTCAATTTTTTTTTCTGGTTGATACTTCTGTGAGTATCTAATGATATGGTTTCTTGACTATAGTTCATCTTTCTGTGTTTCTTATTGCAGGAAAACTAAGGAACCATGGGGATCGTAGAAAGGATTAAAGAAATAGAAGCTGAGATGGCTCGTACACAAAGGAATAAAGCAACTGGTAACTGTTTACTAAAGCCTTTTTGACAGTTGTGTTTCTACCATCGTTATTTGAAGTGCCATTCACGTTACTATTAAGCACAACCTTGTGAACAGATACATTACCTTTTCTTTTTCTCCAGAGTCCTCCTAGAACCTTGTTAAAGCGATCTGCTGTCTGGAGGAGCAACTCTTGTTACTATCTTTAAAAAATAATAGAAAGAGAGAAATATGTGTGGATGCAAAGTAAATATTATCTCTGCGGTCTACGGAAACACCCCCCCCACCCCTCACCCCCCAAATGATGCATAATTAACTCCAATCATTACTTACATACTTCTACAGTAAGCCTAACTCAAATTTTAATAATTTATAGTGACACACCCCAAAAAACATTAAAATGAACTTATTTTGACTGATAGGACAGGCCCGAGAACTCAAATGTTATCGGAAGCTCTTATCAAAGGATTTGAGCTGTGCTGGAAATGCTTATTGTTGTATCACAACCACCATAATGTGTGACCATGATGAACTATTTTAGGTAATTTAATCTATCTTCTCTAAACAGTAATCATGCAGATGAATCGACATAAACCCTCAAGAGTCTCTAAAGGATCTGATTGGCAAAGCTAGAGCTAAAATTTAGAGTTTCTTAGTCAACCAAAGGAGATTAACCTCTTGTGGGAGTACTATTGGATAGTTGAAATTCAAAAGCACTTGTGCTAGAAGTATGAACTTTACATGGATCTTGCAAGAATAAGAACATCCCTAATGGTTTGGCATGGGATGATATTAATTTGAGAGCAATTATTTTAGAGCTTTGTAGTCGCTCCTGATGATTCATTCTTCTGCCCATAATTCCTCTGTACATGTATTTTGTTATGAGTACAGGCTTACTCCATGTGTCATCTCACATACAAATTAACATGGTAAATTTTATTTATATCTTGTATCTGTGATGAATAAACCTGTCTGTATGTCAACCCTCTCCTCAAATTTCCTCGGAAGCTTAGTGACGTACTGTACCTTGGAGTGCAGAGTATCATCTTGGTCAGCTGAAGGCCAAGATAGCAAAGCTGAGGACACAACTGCTGGAACCCCCTAAAGTATGTGAATTTTGGTGTTTTGGACTGTTAATTGGTGCAGTGAATTCTCCCTGAACTTAAGTTTCCTCAAGATTTTATGATATAAAAGTTCACGTTCAATCGAAATCGGCTTTCTCCCATCTGTCTTTTCTTCTTCTTTATTAGAGAGATAATAACAATCTTCTGATTATGCTGATGCAACAGGGTTCCAGTGGAGCTGGAGAGGGTTTTGAAGTCACAAAGTATGGCCATGGACGTGTTGCACTAATAGGATTTCCAAGGTTTGACATCTCCTCTCTTGGTTTTAGATGTCATTAATTTCATCAGAAGGGAAAAGAAGATATAAGTCTGTACGGGTTAATTTTACAAAGTAAAATATTTTTGAAGCATTGTGTGCTAGATATGGAATTAAATCACTTTTTGGCATTTGCTGATCTTCTACATCATATGTTTTCTACCCTAAAAACTACAACAGCAACAACACTTGGTGAAATCCCACAATCGGGGTCTGAGTAGGGTGGTGTTTACGCAGCCTTACCCATACTTGTGAAATAATTTGAGTTAATAGCCTAAAATTCTGAAGATTTGTTATGTGAGATTTCTTTTGGCGAGGCCAAAGATGGGAATCTAACTCGGTGACAATTGACTACAGCTGATCTGGTAATTATGGAAAAAAGTGGTTCTCAGTGTTTACCTGCTACTGTGTATTTGCCTTTTCCCTTTGGGTGTCGTAAAGAATTTCATTTTTCAGTTATGTTAGCTGCTACTCTTGGTCCCCTAAAAACTTCGGGTTTTTTTCTTTACAGTGTTGGAAAGTCAACACTCCTAACGATGCTGACAGGAACACATTCTGAAGCTGCATCATATGAGTTCACTACACTTACTTGCATCCCTGGTATTATACACTACAATGATACCAAAATTCAATTGCTTGATCTTCCTGGTATCATTGAAGGTGCATCTGAAGGCAAAGGGCGTGGTAGGCAGGTACTTGTTGATACTAATTTAGCAATTTGACAAAAATGGATAAAATACAGTTCCTGAAGCTCATTGTCTTGATTTTGAGAGCCTCTGAAGAATTTTTCTTTGATGACAGGTCATTGCTGTTTCCAAGTCATCAGACATTGTTTTGATGGTTCTGGATGCTTCAAAAGTGAGTGTTGGTCACGGTAGCTGATACTTTGACTGTATAGGTTTATTAAAGCTCTTCAAAAAGATATCCAGGTCTATGGGCTTTAAGCGCAAAGTACAATTCACTGTAGCTGATACCTTGATAATATAGGTTTTATTAAAGCTCTTTAAGACGAGAGAGAATCCAAAAAAGTCAAAAAATCATTATAATCCGATAAAGAAAGAGTAAGGGCAAGTCCTCGTACATCAGAGTGAACTAACTCAAATAGTACACTACAATGACTCACTATAGGAATATTACTTTAGAATATGCTTAGCCTCTTACATATATAAGACTGCAACTCAGACATCCAGGTCTATGGGCTTTAAGCAAAAAGTACAATTGTAAAGGATGTACTTTTGTTAAAATGGTGCCATGAAGGAAAAAAGTAGATCTGTAAATGCAAGAAATAAGGAACAAATTCATTCATAATATTTTCCTAACAATTAATACATCTCTTTGCTGATTAAAATTATCATTTCGTATTGCTCGATTCAAGATAGAATTCATGGGCAATGTGGTGGTTGCCTTAGTGCCTTGCCTATAGAGAAGCACCCTTAAGTGAGACAAAACGCCCTCCTAGAGCTTTTCTGAGATTCGGGGATTAAGCGTGCCTAAAATGAGCCATTGACAACATAGGTTTTCATTAGATATAAATCGTACAGTAGATGTCTGTTTTGACAGAACTTGCTAGGTACTGTTGTAATTTTTCTGTGAATGGGTGGTTTCGGTTATGATATTCTTTCAAAACTTATTTTTTAATATGATAACAAGGTTATGATGTTATTTATTTATATTATTTCTATCAACAGTATTCTATTGCTTTCTCTTAATCCCTCTAACATTTTAGTGTGTCAGGATCTAACATGTACTTTCAACCCCCTGATACTTAAAAACTAGAAATTTTCAAGGTCTCATCTTATTACTTTGTGATTTTGATATTGTTCGGATAGTTGTAGATTATTCATATTTTGAGACTGGTGGATGAACTTAACAAGTCTGAGATTTTTTCTGGAACTAAGGCTCTTAATTGTAA